TTTCAGAGTTGAACAATGTCTGAGCTGAAACTCTTAAAGGACCTATATTCTCCTCCTGCCACCCACCCTGCTGATGGCTGCCAGACAACTAGTACTTGGTTACCAAGTCCACATCTTCATGAATATTAACTCCTGACTGGTAGGGGACTGTGGTCAGTGCATTTTTGAATTCCATTGTATTAAGAAAATTCTCCTCTTAAATATAAGGCCTTCTGTCTACAGTTTTCCCCACTTTCTGGTTCCATTTAAGTCTAATTCTTGTATGAATTGTTTTTATTGGCAACTTATACTTGTGTACATTTATGAGCTACCCTCTTACAGTTTTAAGCTGACCTGCTTTCCATGTGTCCCTGAGGATGTGGCCCCAAAGGGAAGCCCGTGTTCAGGTGAGGCTGTCTGGGTAGAACAGTGCTGTCACGCCTGTGCTATGGGTCCCGTTTGAGTTATGTCATAACTCTGTGTCCAACTATGGGACCCATTATTAGAGAATGACATCATCTAAAAACTACAGCTTGCTTTTAAAAAGAAAAATATGTTCATCTAGTAAGGGGAAGTATTATTTTCAAAATGTTATTTGGATGTACACAGTGGATCACAGTGTAAAATGTACTTTTTAATATAAAGTATAGTCATAAAGTTTGAAAAAGTCACATCATATCATTGGGTGTACTGTCAGCTAGTTCTCCATCTTTATGCGATCTAATTCCTGAAAATTTAAATGCTTCAATGTGTGAATTATTGAAACTGTCCTACCAATTTGATTTGAAACTGTCTCATTACTATTTGTTTATCAATAACATTATGGGGAAAAAAATAAAAAACAAAACAAAATTTAAAAAAATGCTCACTGCTGCCATTTTTAGGTGCTTCTCTTATCCTTAATTTGCATAAACATAGTTTGGGGTCATAGTAGAATCCTATTTGCTGTTAGATTTTTTTCCTTCCTAGCCTGCTGATCTTTTGGCACCTAGTCCAGGCTGTTTGACCTTGGAGCACCTGCTGCAGTCACTCAGCATAGTTTTATTGCTATTTTTAACATCTGTCTATTTAAGAACTATTCCTTCTCTGTAAATACATTGAACAGGACAGTTGTGAGAACAAAGCCCTGTGGTAGACCACTAGAGAGTCTTCCTCCTGGGACTTGATACACCTCTTGTGCTGTTTGAGCATGGCCACCTACCAAGTGGGCAACTAGCCCTAATGGCCTGCAATTCTCTGGAGCCTGCCTCAGAGGGGTCATAGCTCATAGCAGACCTTGTGAAACTTGAACATTTTCAGACAGAGTTGCAAACTAGAAAGGCTGCAGGGGTTTGGCAGGTAACACAAGTTAGTGAAGTGATAATTAATTCAGGTAATTAGTAAGTCATCTCTGACCCTGGACTTGCTTTTAAGAAGGCAGTGTGGAGTGGTGAAACTTGGGGATGAACTGGAAAAGTTATGTTCTGGGCAAAGTAGTAGCCATGGCTCTGTTATGGACAGTTTGTAAGATAGAAATGGGGACCTTCAAGAATATCAAGGTTTCATAGGTGGTTTTATTTTCGAATGCTGGAAAATCAGGCATTAACTCTGTATAGACCAAACAAAACAGATCTGTGGCAGACTCGGTCTGTTCCTGTCAGCTAGGGTGTCTCTATATCTGCTATTGACGACATGATGCAAATCGGAGAGGTTGGTTGACGTTGACAAGTTGACGGGCAGCTTGACTTGTGGTTCCTCTTGGAGGCTGGTTTTTTTTTTTTAATTTTTTTTTTATTTTTATTTTAACATTTAGTGAGTGTGTGTGTGTGTGTGTGTGTGTGTGTGTGTGTGTGGCCAGCTCAGCCCACCAGGGGGCGCGGCTGGCTGGCATGTGGTGCTGGAGGATTGAACCGCGGTCCCTATGCTTTGCCAAGCTTGTTCCAAGTAGGTGCTTTAGACCACTGAGCCATCTCTCCAGCCCCTTGGAGGCTGTTTTTTTTTTTTTTTTTTTTTTTTTTCGGAACTGGGAATTGAACTCAGGCCCTTGTACTTGCCAGCCATGTACTTATTCTACTGAGCCATCTTCCCAGCCCCTTGGAAGCTGTTTTTAATCCTAACTGGGGCTGTTTTTAAGCTCAGAAGACTGACATTTGGGGCTGCTTCTTGCCCTTTTTCTGTTTGCACCTTCTCCTGCTGGCCAGTTTGCTTCAGGATCACTGGCAGGTGTTGAGAAATGTATCAGTAGGATTTTTGGGGCTGGGAGACTGGATTCTAAGGTTTCTTAAAATCTCCCAACCAGGGTGTTTTCACTTCCTCCCTCTTACATCCATTATCTGCTTTTCCCTTCTCTATATATTTCAGAAAGCATTTTCCTTCCCAGATAATCCATGAGTACAAAGCTGACCTAGTCTTTCCTTGTTCCTATTCACTCTCCAGAAATAACTTTGAAAATCCCCTTTAGTTGTCTTGACCATTTTGGGGACATCTCAGCTCATGGAGCATTAGTTTTTCTGACACTGTTTCTGTAAATCAGTGCTCCACTCACAGTTCATCTTGGTTATGTATGCCCTGCCTGTTACACATAAGCATGTAAACTTCGTAACTTCAGATTTTGTAGTTTTTGTTAGGCACTTTATTGTATGCCTTTACGGAGGGAATGTTGGGTCATCAGCTATATTCTTAGGCATCTAGAAAGTTATCTTTCACCCTGTTGAGAGGCTGGATAATTAAATGGTCAATGGGGATGAGAGGCCTTTCTTTGTCCTAGGGGTGTGTTACTGTGCTAGCTATGGGTGGGAGGCACATAAGTCATTATGATTTGGACATAACTTTGCAGGAACTAGACCTGGTGGGAGAGGTAACCATTTGAACATGACATAGTCCTGGCATGTGCTATGGGTGCCATGGGTTCCTGGGGGGAGGAGTCATGGTGTATGTGGTGCCATGAGGTTTCAGAATAAAGAGCCATAGATGACGTCATCAGCTGGGAAGGAGGAGGTGACACTAAGCTGGCGCTTGAAGGATAAGCTCGAGTGACCCACCTGAGAGGCTGGGAAGGCTGGTAACTGCATATACAAAGCTTGGTGACATTGGAGAACATGGCCTGTTAGATAAACATAAGGGTCTTTTGTGGGTAGAACAGAAGCAGGGAAGAGTTGAGGCGGGACCTCACTGCCCTCGGGGCTGGTCCTACTGCTTTGGGATCCCATAAGGATCACATCGGACAGTTCTGGGGCTAGTATCTGCTTAAAGTACTTTATTTTAGCCTCTGCTTAAAGTACTTTGTTTCCTATTAGAGAAACTAGCATCTTTTTATCTAAAATGTTTATATTTCTGCTTTATTTACCTATTTTCTCTATATGTGTGTATTTTACTTATATATACATTTTTTTTCAGAACTGTTTGAAATGAGGTTGAAATTATTATGTCCTTTCGCCCTTAAACACTTTAATGTGTGTATCTTAGGAGGAGCATTCTCTTATGTAACTGTAATCTAATAACCCAGTCCAAATTAAGATGGACACAGTAAGCTGGGCATGGTGGCATACACCTATCACCCCAGCACTCAGGAGGCTGAGGCAGGAGGGTCACTGTGACTTTGAGACCAGCCCGGACTACATAGTGAAAATCTGTCTCAAAAAAGGACCAAAAAAAAAAAAAAAAGGACACAGTATTATTTTGTCCATATTCAGATTTCTCCAATTGTCTCAATAATACACGTTATTGATGTTTTCCCCTGGTGTAACATTTAACCTATGAGCGTATATTTTTGTCTTGTATAAGGTAGAAAAGGTTTTGAGCACATTTTGGAGCACTTTCTTAGAATTCCCTGCGACTTGGGTTTATCTGATATATTCTGAATAGATTCAGATCCTTAGTGTATCGTATCAAGAAGTGTATGATGTTGGTTTGTCCCAATACTGGCATTAACTTTAGCCATGGCCATTTGTTTGAGGACGTGTCCAATAGATTTTTCCACTTGTATTATTGTAATTAAGTAACCTACAGGAGATTTTTTGCTTTTTTTTTTTTTTTTTTTTCCCCCTTCGGTACCAAAAATCAAACTCAGGACCTTGTTTTTGCCAGGGAGGCACTTACGCCACTGAGCTACCTCCTGGCCCTAGGAGATGTTTTGAGATTATGTGTATATCCTGCATCTCACCAGGCTTCTATCAGGTGCTTGCAGCTTCTACTGTGACTTTTGAAACCTGTCATTGTTTCTGTGTTCTGTTTCTGAAGAGTTTTCCTTTCCTGAAGGATGGCATCTTTGCCTTAGCCTCACTGGGCCAGGCCCTCCTGACCTCCTTCCTGTCTTGTCGTCCCTTTTGTGTGCATCTCTAGATTCACGTGTGTGATAGTACTTCCTGGGCTTGGGGAAAGGTATAAATCTTGTCACCAGCAGCAGCTTGCTTGTCATCAGCACGGTTGGCTCAGCATGAGTCTGGTCACACACTGTGTAGGTCATCAGAGAGTCCCTCAGGCCTAGGCCTGGGTCGGGGAAGGTGATCTGCCACCACCTCTCTGAGCGAATGTGGCCTGGGCTTCAGACAGTAATGGGGAGAAAAGGGAACTAAGTGTAGGTGAACCTTGTCCCACGTTGAGTTTGTGAAAGCAGCTTTCCTGACCCCTGCACACACAGGCTTCCCACTTACAGTGTGCTTGTGTGCTAGGCTTGGTTAGAAAGCCAAGATAAACAGTCCTAGTGTGGCTTTGGTCACTGTGAATTTGCAGTGAGTTAAGCACATCCCCTCTTTTGGTGTCCTTGGTTTTGGTGGAGCTCTGTTAGTGTGATTGATCTGTAGTTCTTGGGGTCTGAGTGACTGAGAACTGCATATTAGGATGTCTAAAAGCTCTCCCCTCCATTTTTGCTTGTGAAGCTAGCTAAGGAACATAGAGACCCAGGAAGATGAACTGAGGTTCAGGAAGTACTAGGGACAGGAATTGCAAGAAAAGCAGGGTTTAGAGTAATGTCAAGCAAAGTGATGCTTTTCAAATAATGTGGTTCATTTTCCCCCTTTATTTCCTCTCCCCTCTCTCTCCAGACAGGCTCAGAGCTCAGCCCAGTTGATGGACCTGTTCCAGGTCAGATGGACTCAGGGCCAGTGTACCATGGGGACTCACGGCAGCTAAGCACCTCAGGGGCGCCGGTCAATGGTGCTAGAGAGCCCGCTGGACCCAGTCTACTGGGGGCTGCAGGTCCTTGGCGGGTAGACCAGAAGCCCGACTGGGACGCTGCCCCAGGCCCAGCTCACACTGCTCGCCTGGAAGATGCTCACGATTTGGTGGCCTTTTCGGCTGTGGCCGAAGCTGTGTCCTCTTATGGGGCCCTTAGCACTCGGCTCTATGAAACCTTCAACCGTGAGATGAGTCGTGAGGCTGGGAATAACAGCAGGGGCCCCCGGCCAGGGCCTGAGAGCTGCTCTGTTGGCAGTGAAGACCTTGACACGCTACAGACGGCCCTGGCCCTTGCACGGCATGGCATGAAACCACCCAACTGCAACTGCGATGGCCCAGAATGCCCTGACTACCTCGAGTGGCTGGAGGGGAAGATCAAGTCTGTGGTTATGGAAGGAGCGCAGGAGCGGCCCAGGGTCACAGGGACTCTGCCCCCTGCTGAGGCTGGCCTCCCAGCACCAAGTACCAGGCCACTTCTTAGCTCTGAGGTCCCCCAGGTACCTCCCCTGGAGGGCCTGCCCCTGTCCCAGAGTGCCCTAAGCATTGCGAAGGAAAAGAACATCAGCCTGCAGACTGCTATTGCCATCGAGGCCCTCACACAGCTCTCTTCCACCCTGCCCCAGCCTTCTCATTCCACCTCTCAGGCTTCATGCCCCCTCCCTGAAGCCTTGTCCCCTCCTGCCCCTTTCAGGTCTCCCCAGTCCTACCTCCGGGCTCCTTCGTGGCCTGTGGTTCCCTCTGAGGAGCACCTGTCTTTTCCTCCTGATAGCCCAGCCTTCCCTCCTGCGCCTCCTAGAACTGAGTTTCCTGAAGCCTGGGGCACCGACACCCCACCAGCAACACCTCGGAACTCCTGGCCAGTGCCCCGCCCGAGCCCCGACCCCATGGCTGAACTGGAGCAGTTATTGGGCAGTGCCAGTGATTACATCCAGTCAGTATTTAAGAGGCCTGAGGCCCTGCCCACCAAGCCCAAGATTAAAGTTGAGGCACCCTCTTCTTCCCCAGCCCCATCCTCATCCCCCATTCTCCAGAGGGAGGCTCCAACACCATCCTCGGAGCCAGACACCCACCAGAAGGCCCAGACCGCCCTACAGCAGCACCTCCACCATAAGCGTAGTCTTTTCCTAGAACAGACCCATGATGCCTCCTGTCCTCTTCCTGGGGAGCCTCCTACTCCTGGCTGGTGGGCCCCACCAAGCTCACCTGCTCCACGGCCTCCAGACAGAGCACCCAAGGAGAAGAAGAAGAAGCCCCCCACACCAGTTGGAGGTCTTGTGGGAACAGACAAAGCTGCCCCTGGGATCAAGCCCAGTGTCCGAAAGCCCATTCAGATCAAGAAGTCCAGGCCACGGGAAGCGCAACCCCTCTTCTTGCCTGTCAGACAGATTGTCCTGGAAGGGCTGAGGCCCCAAGCCACTGAGGAAGTGCAGGCACATGCACCTGCCCCTCTCTCAGCCCCACTTTCTGCCGCTCTCTCTACCGCTCTCTCTACTCCTCTCTCTGCCCCTGCCCCTGCCCTCCCTCTTTCCCCTGCCCCTGGCCCTGGCCCTGCCTCTCTGCCCCTGCCCCTGCCCCTCTCCCTCTCCCTCTCTCTCTTCCTGCCTCACAAGGCTCTGCTGTCTCCTTGCCCACAGAACCTTCTCTTGCGCTATTTGCACCTAGTCCCTCCGGGGACAACCTGCTGCCCCCTACTCAGGAAATGAGGTCCCCCAGCCCTATGGCCACCCTGCAGCCAGGCTCTGCTGGTCCCCTTCCCCCTGCTGATGACAAGCTAGAAGAGCTCATCCGGCAGTTTGAGGCTGAATTTGGGGATAGCTTTGGGCTTCCTGGCCCCCCTTCTGTGCCCATTCAGGACCCTGAGAACCAGCCAACTTGTCTCCCAGCCCCCGAGAGCCCTTTTGCTACCCGGTCCCCCAAGCAAATCAAGATTGAGTCTTCAGGAGCTGTGACTGTACTCTCAACCACCTGCTTCCATTCAGAAGAAGGTGGCCAGGAGGCCACACCCACCAAGGCTGAGAATCCACTCACACCCACCCTTAGTGGCTTCTTGGAGTCACCTCTTAAGTACCTGGACACACCCACCAAGAGCCTGCTGGACACACCTGCCAAGAGGGCCCAGGCCGAGTTCCCCACTTGTGATTGTGTCGGTAAGTCACCGGGTATTGGGAAGGGCAAAGAGCTGTAGCCTGGTGGACTTGGAATCTCAGCTCTGTCTTCCATGTGACAAACATTCACTGTTTGCTAACCCCCACAGTAGGTCCTGAGAACCCAAAAATGAGCCGAGAGGTTAGCGGAAAAGACACTGAAAGAAACTGATTGTGATGTGCTCTGGTGTGTGCTGTAGCAGTGGACGTGGGGACAGGTGCTGGCAGGGTACAGATCTAGGTGAAGTCTTTGGACACGTCCCTGTAGGAAGCAGTACCTGTGCTGAACCATTCAGGAGCATCAGGTAGAAAGGAGATTCTTCTAGGAGAAGAGAGCAGCCTGGGCTGTGGGAAGGTGAGACTTGTTTGGACCATTCTTGGTCTGGCAAAAGTAAAGGGGATGAAAAAAGGTGACTTGAGGGGTAGGCAGAGGTCAGATAGAACAGAGTGCAGGAGCCAAGGTCAGGACTTGGGTTTGATACCACGCAAAGTAGTAAGCTCCTCAGAGTTATACAGCAAGTAAAACCCTGTTGCCTTATTCTTTTTGAAACATCATTCTGACCTATGGTGGGGAAACTATAAGAAAGTTAGGAATCACACAAGAAATGGAAATGATTGTTTGGAAGAGTAAGTGGTGGCAGGATTTCTGGGGCTTCTTACGAGGAGGAAATGAGGCCAACTCTGGTCTCAGCTTTGGTAGTGTTCACTGAGGACATAGGTTTGAGGGGAGATCACTGAATTCTCTTTGTACAGCCTGTCTTTAAGTTGCTGAAAGAACGGACCTGGAACTCTGAGTTAGAGGTTTTAGTGGGGTTACTTTGGAGTTGTATGTGTAGCTGTGCTGTGCATCAGTGCTGAGGAGGAAGTCAACCCTTAGGCCTTGCCTTCAAGGACAAAAGGGCCACAGGGCTTCTGAGGAAGTTCCTGTGTACGTGACTACATCACCAAGGCTCTGGGAGCAGTGGTAAGCTTTGCTCTGCTGTTCAGGGAGTATTGTGTGGAAGACACGTGCATTTCAGTTGTTGACAGAAAAACATGGATGCTGGTGAGAAGCATGTTGCATTCTTGTGATTTTATGATACACAAAGGGGTGTTAAGGAAAAACTGTCACCTTGACTGGCTGACATGTCTAAATAGCAAGTAAATTGTGTGGTTTGTTGGGATGCCACATTGGGTCCACAAGTAAGGGCTGGGCTGACCTCCCCTGACTGCTGGGTGTGAGGCAAAGGGGTTGGTGACAAGGATTCATGTGGAGAACAAAGCAAGCTGGACCTGTGCTTCTGTGGGAGAAGAGATGTAGAGGGTCCTGCTGAATGTTCACAGATACGCTCCAGGACTATGCGTCCTGCTAAACTTGCTTCTTCACATGACTGGTAATGATGTGGTGTCTAGGGTCCCCTTACCTCTCAGTGCATGGGGAAGCGTGTTCTGATCACAGTGATCGCAGGACACACCCTCCCACACACTGCATTGTCTCTTCCACTGTCTGTTTCGTTCTGTTTAGTGTTCTTCCCCCTTGCAGGTTGGAAATGTCTTTACCTACTACTTAGGACAGTTGCTCTTTAATAAGTGTTTTACTTGTTGAGTTCAAAATTGTATAGGTGTTAGTGTTGGTTAAACTAGTTTTTGAATTTGAATTCTAACTCCATTGATTACCAGCTGAGAGAGTTTGGGCACTTAATGCAACTTTCAGTGTTGAGTTCATCTAGGGTTCAGTGAAAATGATAACAGCAACCAATCACCAGGGCTGCCTGAGGGTTTGGTTGGTTCGTCTGAGCCAGCACTTAGAACTGCCTCTGCTGTGTAGTGATGCTTAGAAAACTGTTGGCTGGTGTTATATTGAAAGAATACCACATGTTGTAAAGAAAAAGGGTTAGGTATTCCTTTATCAATATAAACCTTGTATAGCTATGAGTAAAGATAAATATTAAGAGAAATGGTTCAGTGCTGAAGAATTTAATGGCTTACTTGAGAAGACTGAATAGGTGATAAAATGTCCAATGACTCATGCCATGTGCCAACCTTCCCTGCATTCTCACGTGGGGAGGGGCTATGTTGTAAGAGTTATATAAGAGCAGTCTTGGCTACCCTCATGCAGGGTTATATTTTTATTTCAGAAATTCTTGTACAGAGCTGGGTGTAGAAAATATCAGGGAATACACATGAGAGGTGAGCAGGTGGCCTCTCCAGACCCATGAAGGCAGGAGCATGGGGGTTTGGGGTAGCAGGAAGGTCACGGATAGGTGAAGGGCCAGTTGTGCAGTGTTCTCTTGTGTTCCTTGGACATGAGGAACTGCTAGAGAGGACACTTCATAGCTTGCTGTCGGTGAGCAGAAGTACAGACAGTAGACAGTTACTGTCCAGGTTGCCCAGAAGTGGCAACATGGCAGCTACAATCCCAGCAGTGGGAGGAGGGCCAGGCAGTGGGCAAGGCAGGGGGCAGAGAGCGCCTTCGGTGCTAGTCGTGTACTACCCAGGTTGTATTTTATCTGCATCTTATTCTAAATGCAGAATTAGAAAAAAAATCTACTTTGTGTTAAGTGTTTAAATTGTAGGCAAAGGCTTGGTGAAAACAGCAGAAATTAATGGAGTATAAATGATAATCTTAGTCTTAAAAAATTGGAAAAACTGGAGGTAACTATGTCAGTTGATTGTTCCTGTGGTCAGTCTATGGGTGACTTTTCCTTCATATTTGCTGAAATGTTCTATGATGAATGTGTGTTTTATGATCAAGATATACTTTTAAAAGTGTACTCTAGGAGTAGCATGGAAGACAGATTGTTAGAGGGTAGTGACTCTGGCAGGAGACAGTTAGGAGGCTACTGAGAATGATGACAATGATAGTAATTATGAAAGGCTTGCTCTGTCCCAGGCACTGTGCCAAGTACTTCATGGGCACCACCTCATTTAATCCTCATAGTAATTGTACAAGGTGAAGACTTGGTGACTCCATTTTAACAAGGAGGAAGCGAAATCCAGGTTAAGTAATTTTCTAGGGTCACGGAGATAGTGTGAGGCTTGAGTGTATGCAGTTGAGCTCCTAACCAGAATGCCATCTTGTGATTGAAACTGGTTCATTGAGAAAGAAGCCCTAACTATAACAGTGGTAGTAGGATGAAGAGGGCCACAAAAAAAGGGATGTATCCTGGCACAGAGGACCCTGTTGTTCACGTTGCAGAAGGCTGTCTTATATTCCAGAAGTATCTGCAGCCCCTCATGTCGGGAACAGGTTTTTTGTCAGCTGGTTCACCAGAAAGTGTCTTTGTGAATTGAGACTACGGACAGGTTTAGAGATGAAGATGCTCATGCTGAGATTAATAAGAGATGAGATCATCTCATATTCTAGAACCTCAGTTTCTTACCCTTGGTAGATGGAGAGGTACAAATGTAGGTTCATATAAGGAAGAATTTTCCATAGATGTGACAGTGAAATTTGGAGACTCCTTAAACACTCAGAGTAAACAATTGATGAGAAATTATGGGAACAAATTTATAAAAGCACGAGTGGTTCCAGTAGCACAGCAAAAGAAACCTATTAAATTTTCTTAGTAAATCTTGCCAAATACAGAATTTTGGCTCATGTTATCATCAAGTTAATCAAAACCCTAAACACCAAGAAAATTTTTGAAATCTTTATAAAAATTATGGATTTCTGCGGGGCTGAATGGTTCTGTGTGGGTTTTTGTTCTCTAAATCTTGAAATACTAGAATTACAGGCACCCTTACAGCTTAAGTAAATAAATTTAGAAGACACACAAGGTAATGTCTTCCTCCAGAAGGTAGTGTCATATTTATTTGAGAAAATTTAACAAGTTGGAATTGTGTATTTTATCATTGCAGTGGATGTGTGGGTGCCAATATAATTCTCACATTTTGAAGCACGCGTTGGAGTCCCCTGACCACCTCGTCATATCTGTCAGAGGCAGGATGATAACTGCAGGCTGTCAGTGCAGGCCTTGTTGCCTTGTGTCCCTTCTCAGCAATGGGGAAATTCCCCAGAGGAGGGAGGTTAGGACAAAGATGAGTCCAAGTGACTTTTTAGTGGGCGAAAACCAGCCTGAGACCTGGCTGTCATTTTGTAGAAGAGGAAATAGTCTGTGTTAGCTTTTAAAAGTTGTCTTGATGTCTCTGAGGAGCCTCTGACAGGAAGCTGCAGAGACTAAATCAGACTAAGGCAGAGCAGGAAGTTAGGTGATGCGGATTTTAGGAGTTGCCATCATAGAAGTGTTAGGTATTTAACCACTTGATTTTCCTATCCTAAAGAAGTAATTGTAAGAAAACATCTTGGCCGGAAGCATGGTGAAAGTGGATATGGCTGACTGTACTGTCAGGTAATTTCAGCAGGGACCAGGGTCCTGACTGGGGAACACTGAGTTACCTGTTTATAATCATTTAAAGTCTGTTTCCTCTAGTTTTTATTTTAATGAGAATATATCTCTGTCCTCCCTTATATTCAGTTTGAGGTGAATAACCTCATACCTTTAAATATTTTTCAAAACAATACACTATCTGGATACCAATATGAAGATGGGGAGTCCAACCCTGGGCAGGAGGATATCAGAAGGAAATTCTTGGAGGAGTGGTGTCTGTTGAGTTTTAAAAGATTATCAGAAGTTTAATTGGTTAGCAGGGATAAGGTCACATATGTCAGGCAAAGGGATGTGGAGATGAAAAGTCATGAAGGTGTGGCGATGAAAGAACACAGGGAGCCACTAGCAGATCTGTTGAGACGGGTGCTGGATGAAGGACTGGGCGTGGCTGGAGAGCAGAGTTTCATGATACCAACAGCAGAGAAACCAGTTTGCGGTTCAGATGTCTTTCAAGCAAGAAATAATGGGTACCTGAATTGAGAGGATAACACTGAGTAGAGAGGAGGAGAGAGAGGAGGAGAGAAAGTAAAAGAAAAAGAATTGACTGTATTGGTAATGAATGTAGGAATAAGGGAGGAGAAGGAACAGTCTCAGCAACTAAGGTTCCAGGTTGGGCAGCTGGGTGGATGGGTT